GGTGAAGGAGGGGTGAGGATTCTTGCAGAAGCGACGGCTTCCTGTGCCTCTTGACAAATGAAATTTTTATTCGACCACTTGCACGTGACCGGAAAGGGGATGATAGGTATAAAACGTCGAGTCCAAGAGCTTCGGTAAGAAGGTGGCACATGCTTTTCCGGTTTGGCCGTAGGTAAGGGTAGTTTGCGGGCTGTACTCTGGCTATGACCCTATAAATAAAAATAAAGCTTTAACATCCAGTGCGGACCTACGTAGCCGCCCTTAGCCAGACACCCTTGGCTCGTAAACTCTTTTCAGATGGCGCGAGTGTATTTCTCGCGAAAATCTAAGGTTCACGTTAAGCGGACTATCGTACTTCCGTGTTGGAAGGAAATGATGGCGGTTGCTGAAAAAAAGAAGGTTCGAAAGGGACGTGCCTATCTGCCCTTATATTCCAGGTTGCGCGTATATTCACCCACGTGATGGTCGTATTCTATACGCACGTAAGGATTGCGTGGTTGTAAAGCGAATAGTCACTGGTAACGAGTGAAGATAAAGTCTGGTTGGTAAAGCATTTGCAATTGCTAAACAATCTGGCATGGAGACGACTTACTTCCTGTGTTGTTTTGACTACGGTCGAGGCGCCACGGGGATGACACGTGGCTTGGGCGAAGCGAAATGCGCGAGAACTAACGCGAGCCAACCTTTGGTGTACAATTAATACGTGATTAACCGGCAGAGTAAGAATTTTACATTTGACTTACCTTACCTTCAATCTTCCTGTTTATTAGCGTTAATTCTTTTTTTTTTACTCTGGCACTCTAAGGGCGCAGTCCTTCCTAAGGGTTGCGAGGGATGCAAATTTCTGTCTCACGGTTAATTATTAACCTTAGCACATTCTCCGCCGTCACGGGAGTATTAGATGTCTTTCTTACCGACCATCCAGACTCGCCTTTACCATAGAGTTATTCCTACTAGTCAGCGGCCATCAACACCTTTTATTCGGTCGTATCCCTACTGTGAAGCTCACGAGTTATTAAGTTTGTGCGCTTCAAGAGCATACGTGAAATTTAACGGAATACATCGTATCTGCACTCGATGGACATTACTTTTAGGTCCTTTACTGTCCTGTGTTAGTATCCTTGCAATCCTTGGATTAAGTTCAAAGCGTCGTCTGAGAGCTGCTAAAAGAAGATAGTCACTTTTAATAGCGATTCGCGACGTTGATTTCTATGAGGCGTAGCTTTTGCGAGCAGGATATCCATTAAATGTTACCTGTTATCCAGCGAGAAATAGCGAGGGATTCTGATGGGCGGGACTCGGCGTTCCACAGGCACCAGGCTAACCGAGTATCTAGTTCATCGACACGTAACGAGATGTCGCCAGTGTGGCTCGACACCCTTCAGCTTCGCCTCTAGCGGACGCCGGGTGAAGCTCGAGAATCTTTTAAAACTCCTCGCCACACCCTGACGCTAGTTTCGCCGAAAAAGTACGCGGAAGCGTCTCGTGCCAATTCGTATGATGTTTCGCGTTACACGTTTGTCATTTTCGTGACATTATTTTATACGTTCTTTGAGTGACTGTTCAGCAACTGTGGTCTGATCGTGGCATCGCATGTGCATCGGAGCTCTCATTG